ACCCATGCTCACACACACCAGCCCCTTCCCCTCCAGGCCACTCCCCCTCCTCCCAGGTCCCTGTCCCTCCCCCCCCCCTCCAGTCCCTTCCCTCTGCTCCTGAACCCCTTCTCCTTCCACCCCAAGTCCCTCCACTTGCTTCCAGGCCTCTCCCCCTTCCCCTGCAGGCCCCGCCCCTGAGGGCACTCACTCTCCTTGGCCTTGGCCTCCTTGCCACGTGCCAGGAAGAGGAAGCGGGGGCTCTCGGGGCAGAAGGGCAGCAGCAGCACTTGGGCAGCGGCGGGCACCAGCGTCAGCGCCAGCAGCAGTGGCCACAGCTCGGCCGTGCCCAGCAATGTATCCAGGCCCAGCACCTGGGCTGCCAGGATGCCCAGCACCACGGCCAGCTGGTGCAGTGTGCCCAGCGCCCCCCGCAGCCGCGTTGGTGCGATCTCGCTCACGTACATGGGCACCAGCCCTGACGACAGGCCTGGGAGGGAGAGGAGGGCAGGTCATTGCCTGTGGCAACCATCACCAAGGCCACCTGTGGCAACCCTCAGCCATAACAACCATCCCCTACCAGGGCAAACGTGGTGGATGCCCATAGCACCTGCTGTCCATAGCAACAGTTGCCCTTGGCAACCATCACTGGGGGCAGCTGTTGCCACCGTCACCCAAAGCTGCCATTCCTCATAATGCTCATCACCCATGGCAACCATCACCCAATGCCACCATGGCACCCATCTCCTACACAAGCCACCACCCATCTCCCACAGTGGTGGCAACCACCAGCCACGGGAACCACCACCCATCTCCCTGCAGCACTGGTATCCAGGGCAACCATGGCACCCAAGACCTGCCCCCTGCCACGTCCCCATTGGCTGGAGCCCCTGCCCATCACCTGAGTAGGCGCCGATAACGAAGCGGCCAATGATGACGAGCTCATAGGAGCGGCCAAGCTTCGCCAGACCCAGGCAGGCGCCGCCCACGAATGCCAGGACGTTGTTGGCGATCATGGCCCGTTTCCTGTGGGAAAAGTCAGCACGGTGCCCCTCACTCCCAACTCACAGACCCTCAGCCCCGATGGTGCCCCTCACTCCCAACCTGCATCCCCCTGCCCCCCCAGCTCTGGTGGTGGCCCTCAGTCCCGACCTGCAGCCCCTGCCTCCCACCGGCCCTGCCAGTGCCCCCTGCTGCACCTTCCCAGCCACTCAGAGACGAAGCTGATGCAGAAGGAGGAGATCATCCCCCCGATGGAGAAGATGGCGACTGAAAGGGACCACAAGGTCGTGAGGGTCACAGGGTCAATGGGCACCGGCTGGTCGGTCACCTGGCGCTCCATCCATGTGGCATTGTAGTGCTGCTCAATGATCTGGGGGGGCCGGGGAAATGAGTCAGTGGTGCCCCTCACTCTCGACCTGTAGCCCCCCCAGCCCTGTCGGTGCCCCTCACTCCCGACCTGCAGCCCCCTACCTTCTGGGGAGCATTGATGACCCCAATGTTGAACCCGAACTGCAGGGAGCCCAGGACGGCGGCAAAGACAGAGAGGACAAGGGTGGGGGTGATGGCAGCTTCATTGTGGCCCTCACTGTCCTCCTGGTGGGGAAGGGGGGCAAAAAGGCACTTCTGTGGAGGAAGAGCACATCCCCTTGCCCCTCCCTGGGCCCTGCTGGTGCCCTTCACTCCTGATCCGCAGTCTCCTGCCTCCCCAACCCTGCTGGTGCCCCTCATTCCCGACCCACCACCCCTGTCCCCGCACCATCCTGGGGGAAGCTCTCAGCCCTGTTGGGGGAGGCAGCTCTAGCCACTACACTTCACTGCCTTCCTCCATGCTCTACCCCTGGGGAAACCTTGCCCACACCCCCAGTGAGGCAGTGGGGGGGGGGCTAGGGGGGAGTGGGCCTGGGCCCCAGAGTGGTAGCCAATCAGGAGTGGGGGCAGCTGGGGGCAGCAAGAGGTTAATAGAGGCAGCTGGGGCTGTTGTTATGGGGTCTTCCCCCCCACAGAGCTGGCTGCATCCTGCCCCCCGCCACACCTGGGTTCTCTGGGATGGGGTGAGAGGCTGGGAGGGGGGAGAGTTGGGAGCCCGGAAACCTGGGTTCTCTGGGGGGAAGGGGATGGGAGGAGCCCCCTCCACACCTCTCTGCCTCGGTTTCCCCTCTCAGTCCTGTCAACCGCCCTTGTTGCTGTCCCGGGATGAGTCACAGCTCCTTCCCGCCCCCTCCACACCCAGGCAGAGACCAGCCTTATTAGGGCAAAACCTAGACTAGACATAAGATGGGGGGCAGCCCTGCCAGTGCCCCTCACTCCCGACCCACACCCTGCCATTGATGCCCCTCATTCCCAACCTGCAGCCCCTGCAAAGGTGCCCCTCACTTATGACCCGCAGCCCCCCCAGTGGTGCTCCTCAGTCCGGACTGGCAGCCCCTGCCCCCCATGGTGCCCCTCACTGAAATGGGCTAGCATGTGCCAGGCCAGGGACATGCTTGCATACACGTGTGCTGTACCCCTGGGCCTGTGCCCCCCCACTGGCTTCACATTTCTACACGCATGTACTGGCTGACATGCAGAGTCCCCCCAGCACACGTGTGGCCATGTCCCTGGGGGCGAGTTACCCAACAGCTGGGGTAAAAAGAGTCACAGTGCCGGGCAAGGGGGGGAGGCAAGGCTAGACCCACCCCCAGCCCCC